TGGGGGCAATATGCTGACTCTGTAAACCGCTTAGAGAGGGCTGAAAGCCCTATGAAGCGGTATATAAGTTTAACTGCTATTGCTATTGCTAATTGCCAATTTAACCAAATGTAAATCAGATGATCGCGGGGACGCTAAGTGTCAAAAATGGTCCCGAGTTACTGCTTTTCGGTGCCATTGTAACTTTGAATGGATACTAAATGAACTCTTGTAAGTCAAAGGCTGCCTGTAAATGATTTAGCTCTCCTTGTACAGGTAATCCTCAACATACGACCACAACCGAGCCTAGAATTTCTGCTGCTAAGCAAGACAGCTTTTAATTGAATTTTGCCTCACTTTACAGCTTTTCATGCCACCGTTGTTAAGTGCATCACCGCAGCTGTTCATTTAGTAACACGTTTCTTAAGTAAATCGAGTTTCCTCATTGACTTTGCTTTGTCAGACGGTCACAAAACGGGATCACATGACCTCAGTATACGGCATCCGTCATAAATACATGCCAGTTGCCAAGTGTGCAAATTTTGAGCGTACGGCCAGGGTTGTTAAGTGTGAATGGTTGTAAGTGTGAAAACCAGCTGTCAGTCACTTTTTTCAGTGCCGTCGTAACTTCGGACAGTCACTAAATGAATAGTTGTAAGTTGAGGATTACCTGTATTTCGTAGCTCAAAAATCTTAGCACTTCCTTTCATACACGACTCCTGGCTGACCAACTGAATTCATTCCATACAAACCATAAAAAAATCTCTTCTCATAATGAACGAGCTCAACTTCCAGATGTGTTCAGCTCCTTTTGGAGGATTCTGGTTGTCCTCCAGCACATCTGTGGAGCATCCGAGTGGGGCAGGGAATTGCTTACAGCCTGGATTCTAGCGATGTCCTACCAGTAGAAGATGGGAGAAACTGAGGCAGACATCCTGAAATGCAGGCGTGCTTATTCTCAAGAGACTGGCCGCTTAGAGCCATTGAAAGGATCCAGGAGCTGATTTTTCAGGACTTAAACCTTTGCGCACCTCCTCAGAAGTCAGTCTAATTGAAGTCAATGGGTGTTTCCCCAGCTCTGTTTTAAATATTTTTATTTTATCCTTTTTACTTATTAAATTTGAAAAGTGGAAAGAAGGACTCAGGGTGATATGAGAGCCATGTTCTAATACAGTGTTTCTCAACCTTGGCAACTTGAAGATGTCTGGACTTCAAGTCCCAGAATTCCCCAGCCAGCATTCGCTGGCTGGGGAATTCTGGGACTTAAAGTCCAGACATCTTCAAGTTGCCAAGGTTGAGAAACACTGTATTAGAACATGGCTCTCATATCACCCTGAGTCCTTCTTTCCACTTTTCAAATTTAATAAGTAAAAAGGATAAAATAAA